CGTCTCGTTGCCTCGTGTGTTGTGCAGGACGATCCATGGAGAGGAAGCGTGCTGCCAAACAAACCCAGATGTCTAAAGCATGCTTCAAAGTTTAAAGTATGCTTTAGACATCTGGATTTGTTGACATACTTACATTCAATGATGGGGTTGTTAGGGTGTCCACTGTCATGGCATCCATAACTCGTGTGGCGAGGGCATCTCACGTGGCTTGGACCTCGGGCAGGGGAGTTTCGACCTCGGTCGAGCTCTTCTGCTCACCTGGAGGGCGCGCCCTTCGAAGTGCAGGCCTTCCTCAGATCGAGATCACAGCTAAGCCGCACTGCCTGACTGCCTCACTGAGCACAGCATCTCGGAGGCAAGCTGTGTGCCAGTGTGAGAGGGCAGGGTGTGCGGATGCCATTTTCGACGTCGAGCCGACGAGTTTCGAAATTAGGCTGTTTTATTGTTCGAGGCAGTCCCAAGCGAGAGCCATGTTGTTGCCACAATCCGCAGCGCGCCCTGTGGCAGCGAGGGAGAGTTTGGGAACTCAGGGGGCTTGCGCCAAAGGGCATCGCGCCCTGCAGACGGAGCAGGAGGAGGAGGAGGAGGAGCAGGAGGAGGAGCAGGAGCAGGAGGAGGAGGAGGAGCAGGAGGAGGAGCAGGGGGAGGAGGAGGAGGAGGAGAGGAGGAGGAGGAGAGAGGAGAGGAGGAGGAGGAGGAGGAGGAGGAGGAGAAGGAGCAGGAGGAGGAGGAGGAGGAGCAGGAGGAGGAGGAGAGAGCAGGAAAGAGGAGGAGGAGGAGGAGGAGGAAGGAGGAGGAGCAGGAGAGGAGGAGGGGGAGGTAGGAGGAGGAGGGAGGAGGAGGAGGAGGAGGAGGAGGAGGAGGAGGGGGAGGAGCGCGCCCAAGCGCTCCCTGGCATACCCCGCCGAACGACGCAGGGGAGGCCGATCCACTGGGGCGACGCCACGAGGGGGCACGCCGCCCTCCCCGCCCCCGCACGCCGCCCCTCGACCCACGCCTTGGGGATCACCGGGCTTCCTCCGACCACCTGGCCCGCCGAGCTTCTTTTTGGACGCCCGCCATGGGTACGGAAAGGAAGGGTACAGTGCCCAACAGCAGTTCTTGCTCCTTTTGAGCAGGACTCGCTGTGGTTGTGTCGCCGCGGCCTGTGTACAGGTGAGACAGAGGGCCGCCTGCCCAACAGCGGCCGCTGTTGGTTTGGGGCAATGTTTGTTGTTGGGCAGTGTGCCCATTCTTTCCGTGCCCATTTCGGGCGTCCAAATTCTTCGGCGTGTCGCAGAAATCCTCCTTCTTCTTCTGGTCCTTCTTGGCCTCATTGCTGCCCTGCCCCTCGACCCACGCCTTTGGGATCCCCGGCCTTCCTCCGACCACCTGGCCCGCCGAGCTCCTTCGGCGTGCCGCGGAACTCCTCCTTCTTCTTCTTCTTCTTCTTCTTCTGTCGGCGGCGAGCCAGGGGGGGGGGAGGTGAGAAGGGGCGGGGGTCTTCTCAGAAGGCTCGGAAGACCCCCAGACGTATGAGAAGTGCTCCAAGGGTTCCCCCAAGACGCAGAGAAAGAACTTCTCGGAAGGCGCGAGGGCCTCTGAGAAGTCCCGCCGCCCTCTGAGCAGGCCTTCTCTCAGGAGGGGAAACAACACACAGACACAATTAATCGTGGATCCCCCAGAAAATATGGAAAAATATGGGAATTGGGCGGGAAGACAAAAACCCACAAAATATCGGAAA